AATGTCACTGCATGCCATGAGAAAACACCAGCGCGTAGCCTTTATTTCCCTGCAGTTAAGAGATGTTTGGAGCAAATTCAGCCACCCTCATTGAATGCAGCATCTCACTGGACTCCCAGGAGTCACTCACATGCACTGCTGTGGGATGGAAGGGTCTGGCCCCATAATTGTGTTCCTGGGGTAACTGAGCGATGCTGAACACACGCGCTCAAGGTCTAGGGGCACCAAAGTGAGCTTAGCAATTTGTTCCACTGTCTTCAATCAGCCAAAGCTTGTGGTGATTTATAGCAGTGTGGAGAGAGGGCCTAAGCTGTAGACTCATTTAAATGTTCACATGCCATTGTTTCTCCTGGAGCTCTGAATAAAGTGTCATCATGCTTCTCAATGGAATATTTTGGATAAGCTTTTCAGAATGCAAAAGAGGCTGAAAAAATACTCTCCAGACACACGACTGTTAAGCCTGGCTCCACTTTTGTTAGCAGAGCCACCATCGGCAGCCAAGTGTTCGGTCTCTCCCTGTTTTCCTCCCCACTGCTCAGAGGAGGATAAGTACCCTAAGACACTGGATGAGCCCCAAAAATAGGCCTTCTTCATGCTCACCTTGCCCATTAGCAGCGGCAGAGTGCTGGGTGCTGTATAGAGAGGACACAGGGAAGCCATGCAGAGCCAAATCTACACAGAGAATGGAGATGGGGAATCTTCCAAGAAGACAGCGGTGGTATTTTCTTACTTCTTTCCCTCATATACACCTTTCTTGTAGCTCACTAAAACTGACCGAGTCCATAAGACGCATCCTGTTTTTCACTGTGAAAACCAAAAGAAGCAAGGAGGCTGAAGGCTGGAAGAAATTGGAGTTGATTTAGGAAACATGAGACAAACAGAAAGAGAGCAACAGGGGAAAAAAAAAACAAACCACAAGGTAAGAAAATGAAAGAAAGAAAATACCATGGAGGTTAGGAAAAAGTCTGGAAGAAAGCATGTGGCGGAGAGCATCATTAAAAAAGGACAAGAAAGAGAATGGGTAAAGAGAAAGTGATGGATACAACAGCAACGACAACAAAAACCAGAAAGAGGTGGAAGTCATTTTGAAGGTCGCCATAGAATGGTTTGAAAGAGTGTGAGTGAAAAAGAGGAAATACAAGAAGTGGAACCAGCAGAGTAAGCTACATCATGTTATTGCACAGAAAGTGGAAAGCAAATTGCTAACGTGCACCCAGACACTGAGAAGAACCTAGGCCTTACCTAGGCAAAGGGGACACGGATGCCATGGGACACAACTTTACCCTTTGTGTTAAAAGGCACAGATGGGTCGTGTGAGAAAGCTCTGATCACTCCTGAGGGTACAGTTTTCCTTCCTAAGATCCCCATAGCTTCTGAAGGAATTCAGTACCTCACACTCCTACACTATAATATGAAGCAGGTTGTGATTTTTGTTAGTTGCAAAGGAGAGATATTTTATATCCCCACTTCCCGCTATACACATCAGGCCTTCCCCTGCAGGCACAAAGGATTTATTCTTCCTTTTACAAATTACTTTACCAGCTGAGGAACTGCAATAGCTGCCAAACCCCCTGAAGCCCAAGACCTCTGCCCCATCTCAGCAAGGGCCAAAATGAAAGTAGGGAGAGAGGAAGCAAGTTATTTTGAAACAAGTGCTAGGGGTGGGCACAGGAGCAAGCACAGTCTCAGAAGATCTGGTGAGCACTCGTGTAGCCTGAGCCATTCCCTTCACTGTGCTGGGGTAGAATCACCCAGGAGCCCATGTGGTATGGTGAGGGTGAACATTGCTGGTGAGAACCCTCACCGCTTTTCCCTCCCAACCATTTGCAATTAAGAGCTGGCACATAGGCAAGTGCAAACACCCCCAGCAAAATCAGATGCTAAAGCAGGTTTTGGTTTGGCTTCGGTTCTGGTTTGGGTTTGCCTGTGACCAAAGTTGTTCTCACCCAATCTTAGTTCAAGTTCAGCCAAGGTTTCTGACTAACAGCCCTGGTTCAGGCCTTGCTCGAGGAAAAATCTGGAAGAAGTTTTCTGCCTGACTGTTGTAGTGTGTATGTAACCAAAGCTGGCCTTCCTTGCTTGCTTGTCCCAAAAAATGATGAATTGCAGAAGTACCCATTTGGTGTTAGTCATTCGGTGAAGCAGGAAGGAAGCAGGAAGCCCTTGTGAGCACTAACTTTTCAAAGCAGCTTGCAGAGAAAGCCAAAGCCCTCCCTCCCCTAGGCTACATCACTGTGCCACTGCTCTTTAATTTTAACTCACCTTTATGGGCACCCAGTCACAATTAACATTTTCAACTCATTCAGCTGGAAATATTTGCCCAGTGCAAACAGCTGAAGCATTCGGTGCAAGTCCTTTCACTGCACCAGGCGTATTAAAAAAAAAAAGTGGGTGGGAAGAGGAGCCCTACACTTGCGGAACGGGGAGAGGCCCGGTTGCACTCAACAGGTTCAGTTCACGCTGTGACCCTGCCTGGCTTCCTGCTATTCAGATGTGTTACTTCCCCTTTGCGGTAATGGCCTGTGGCAGCCAGCCAGAAAACACTATTAATTTCAGAAGTGGCCTGACAACAAACCCACAGTGAAACGAGAGGAAGTGGCGGGGAGGCCATCTGTTGACTTCAGCAGAACAGTAGGGATGCAGCTATGTAGGTTTCTACAAGGAAAGCAGATTAATAATCCACAAAGAGGAAACTGGCTAAAATTATCCGCAGACCATATTAAAAAAAAAAAAAAAGAAAAAAAAAAGGGAGTCACTTGAGCTGCAGCTGGACAGGAAATTGCTAGAGCTGCTTGCAAATCTCCACTTTGAACAGAGCAGCACAGGGAATGCCAAGAGCGGAAACCGTTCAAAACTGGATTAGCACAAGCCAAGTTTAACTGCAACCCACTTCTACTTTCACAGTTTATGCACTCAATCTAGGCCACTACTGCATGAGACACTGACTCACTTTTTTCCCATGTTTTGTTTGCTTTTCATTTCACACACTTGCAGTTTCTAAAATTACTTGAAATGTGCTCTGGCTGCCAGGAGTTCTGCAGAACTCCAGTCACCAGCTGCAGCAACAGCCCCTCACTCTGGTACTGCATGCAGGTTTTAGCACCACCCTGCCTTGGGCCACTTCTCCTCAGGAAGGATGTTAATAAGTCGCAGCAGGAAGTTTTGCAATTGTTGCAATCCCCCTTTTTCCTTCTGCAGAGACAGGACTAAGTGAAGGGTCCAAAGAGGAAATGAGGTGACTAAGAGTATACAGAGACTTTCCTCCTTGCTTTCACCTACTAAGTCACAACATGGCTGAAAGCAATGGAAAAACCATTTACAGGCTACAGACTGTTGATAGATCTCTGTAAAATGAGTTCCTGCCAGACATATAAGGAGAACGCAAACCCATCTCCTCGCATCTGTAATAGAGTGGCCAAAATTTGTAAACAAACCCAGAAAAGAGCAGCTCCTTACTCTTTAAAAAAAAAAAATCCTTATGGCCCAGGGTCAGGTGCATCCCTGGGGTAGCAAAGGGATGCCAGACTATTTTGCATTTAACCTGAAGGCCTTCAAAAATATTCCCTTCACCAAAGCAAGAATCTAGCACATGCACTGTTTATTCATTTAGGCACCAGTGGACCAAAGGGGAAATCAAGGCTTTATTGTCTGAGGGGCTGTACAAAAGCTATTGAAAGCAATCATTACCTTTAAACATAACCATATGTGTATGTGCTATTAACCACACCCACACAGAAGGGAAAGGGGGAAGAAACCAGCCAGGTTCTCCATAGCCAAAAATAGTTATTTATTTATTAATAATTTAAGGTTTTACATTCTTATAATAATTTCCATCTTAAAACTTTTACACCATGTATTACTCTCCCTTATTGGCAACCACGTGCAGGTTCACTGTGCGTATACACAGGTACAAATGCTCGCACATACTTCCAGTTTTATACAAAAAAAAAAAAGAGAAAAAGACGCAAAATATTGCATTTGAGGTGAAGCTCCCTGAAGAATTTGTACAGAGGTAATGCACTGTTTAGCACATCTCAGAGTTTTAAAAAGTGATCAAAAATCTTTCGCATTCAAAGACAAGCCTCCTCCCAGATGATCTATTTACAAAAGGTAAGGCAAAAAATTAATTTAATTTAAAAATATATATATATATATCATGTGGAAGCTACATCAAGAGTGTGAGAAAAAAAAAATGACCACAAGAAAAAGAAAGATATATGAAAGAAGAGACTGTACTTGCTCACAAAACATGATTTGCAAACTTCTCACCATTGCCATTTCTCCCCCATGGAAAGCTTGCTTCAGTTGAACAATAAAATTAAGCATGCTGCAAATATATTCTTTGCAATTTAAAAAAAAGAAAACAAAAACAAAAAGAAAAAGCAGAATTTATGAAGAGAACAAAAACACAGATGTCCCTTGGATTGATTTCTTGAATACATGTGAATTAAAAAAAAAAAAATTCAAAATGATTTAAGATTAAATATTTACACTGATCAAGTAGAATACTACCAAGCTCCCAGCAAACAAGTACTCCAAATATACTAAGCTGAAATTTCTTTCTTTGGCTCCTCTAACTTAAAACAAACAAACAAACAAAAATAACCAGTCTTCACTGAAGACAAAGATGTGTGTCACAGATCCAAAAGCAGAGAGGGAAGCGGGATAGTCCCAGTCTCTAGAGAACACGTGCTCAGCCTGCTCAGCCTCACCCTACCCCTCTGGAAGTCCTCGGACCCAAACCACTGCATGAGCAGGGATGAGCACGTTGCTCACCTGCTGCCCGGCCACCACGGTCCTTTCCAGAGAGTTCAGCGCCTTCCCTCCCTTTGCAATAGCCGATTCCATACTGTGTAACCTTTCCTAGCCTGCACTGACAGCTGCTTTTTGATAGCAGAGGCCAGAAAAAGAGAAAGCTGTGTTTGCTTTATCACTGCCAAAGATAAACCATTGAGGAGTGATTCCCATGAAATGGACAGGAGAAGGGAGGTGGTGGGAGCTCACGTGGACTGCAGGGAATCCACCTGGAAGACGTTTTGGTTGGAAGGGGTGGTGAAGTACAGCTGCTGGTTCGGTACTCGATTGTCACAGGGGCTGCTCAGCCCCAGAGTCCGCTCAAAGTCCAGCAGCTGGCCCATGAAGTTGAAGTTGGGTGAAATGTTGGACTTCTTCATCTTGACAATATCATAGGCATCATTCATGGACAAGTTGAGCTTCTGCATGAGGTAGGCCACCGTCACTGTGACCGAGCGGCTGATCCCTGCTAAGCAATGCACCAGGACACCACAGTTCTTCCCCCGTGCTTCATCTGTATGGAGGCAAAGAGGCAGAGAAGGACACATAAGACAAGGAGATGGTAACCGAGCTCTCAACACAAGTGAGATTATCATCAAGTAGGAAGAAAGGGCGATTCTGATCCCAGCGGCCAGCAGTGCAATGCAAGAGTTAACTCCATCGGCTTAAAACGAGGACAACAGAAGAGTCCACCCCCCCCTCCACATATATGTATCCGAGCCCAAGAGCTGAGAAAACTAAGCATGAGACAAAGGGAGCAGGATACGCTGCATGACACTGTTTTAAAAGTCAGCTTTAAAAGACACGCTTTCGCCTGGAGATTTGCCTTAAATTCTTACAGTCCCCTTACCCCAGCATGGAAATCCTGCAGTATGTCACTGAATGCCTTTTATACAGACCAGCAGACTGCAAAGGTCTATTAAATTATTCTCCAACTGTTGTGCAGCTAACAATGGAGGTATTCAGGCATTTTAAAAGAATGAGGGAAGTCACAGGGGACAGCCCATTAGGAGGAACAGGATGTCAACATTGGTTGAAAATGGGTTCCTTTGTAATAGGAAATGCATTACAATGCCTGGAGATTAGTTTCTTTGTGGCTTCCAGCCCACATTTCTTCCTGCTGGGCTCAGATTACCTACATTCTCCACTATTACCGGTATCATTCAACCGGATTACAGCACAGCTTCCCAACAGATAATGCGACGCCCACCCCACTGCACCCCGATGGGGTGATTTTAGGCCTCCCCGAAAAAACGAAGGAGAGTGCAAATTTTAACCAGAACTCTCGGAGCCCAAGGGGACGCGTTTTCAAAGCTGACGGGTAATGTCTAAGGACTGGCTATCCGAGGCACGGAGCCCGAGAGGTATAGCATTATTACCACAAGATTTAATTAAAGCTCTGACTATACATTTGCCAAGGATACCGGTTATTCATAACTTGTATTTAAAAGCTAAAGTTAGCTTCCCAGATCGTTTCTTTTTATTACACTGCTCTTCAGTAACCTCAAAAAGAAAGAAAGAAAGAAAGAAAGAAAGAAAGAAAGAAAGAAAGAAAGAAAGAACAAATAAACCGCCAACCCCGAGTTCACTTGCCCCCCCCCCTTCTCTGACAGGAAGAGATTTAAAAACATCCCCCATCCTGCGCATTGCTCAGTTCCCAGCTCCGACACAAACGGCTCACGGATGAATCCCACAGCGAGCCAAACCAGGTACACATTTGCAACCTGCAGTTGTCGCTTACAATTCCCCGGGGCTCCTCACTGACCTCCCCCCCCCCAAACAGCCCTCGCCCCTCAGTTTAAGCCGGCTTTAAAACAAAAAAGCAGGGCATCCCTCAGAGCCTGCCAGAAACGCTACTGCTTCTCGCCCGAAATTTTCCAGATTCTGCGAAAGAAACTGAATTCTGGCTCTTGATATCAAGCTGTTAGCAAATGATCGGGTCTCACCTATGAAGGAGATGGCCTCAGGAAAGAACTGAGACAGGTTTTGGCTCCAGTGATCTGAGATCGGGATCTGTTTGTACTTGAATTCACCGGCGTTTTCGAAGAGATTAGGCAGGTTGGGGGTAACATTCAAGATGTATTTTATGCCAAACTCTTCTAAAACGTCCAGATTAGTGGAGTCCTTGGCACAGCCTAAGTAGAGGTAGGGTAAAATCTCCACCGGGAAGGAAGGCTGGTTGTTGGAGAGAGGGCTGCCATCGGAGTCAGTGGCACTATTGGGGTCTCTGTCAATGTCAGATTCAATGTCTGATGAAGAATCGGAGCTGATTCGGAGGCCTCCCAAGCCCAAGACTGGCAAAGGAGGAGAGCTGCTGCTACACGAGGTGTCTAGGTTAGTTTCGCAGTGCAGGGCAAACTCGGCCTGGAACTTGCTGAAGCCACCTGGGGAGAAAGGCAAAGGGGAAAAAAAGATGCAACCTGATATCAGATGACAAGCCGACTTAATTCCCTGGTACAGCCCTGTCTGCAAGGGGACATCTGATTCCCACTCTTTCGAGCCCCGAGAAAAAGAATAAAATAAAATAAAATGTCACACACTCTCTCACGCAGACAGACTAACCTAAAAGAAGGTTTAAGAAAATCGCCCGCTGCGGCGGAGGGCTTAGCACAGGCAAGATGAAAGCTCTGTGCCGCTTCGCCCTGCGGGGACCTCCGGAGAGACGTCTCGGCGGCTATTCCCTCTGGCCTCCCCGGCTCCTACTGGGATCCCCGTTAGCCCCATCTCCTCCCCATGTTGCTACAGCGATTCCAGCATTCGAGGTCTCTTTAAACGAAGCGAGGACAGGGATGCTGGGGAGAGGGGAGAAGGAATAACCCCCAGTCCAGGCCGGTGTCCTCCTGGAGCGTCAGTGCGCAGTGCCTGGGGGACGCTGCGGACGCCCACCCCCTCCTCCTTCCCCAGGCAAGGAGCCGCACCGCTGAGCCGTAGGGCTCGCTTCCCCGTCACCCCCAGCCCCAGACTCCTAGGCAGACAGGGATCTCTCCCCTAGACCCAGGCAGTCCTTCTCACCTTCCAGATAAAACGCCTTGCAGCCTTCGTCTTTGAGACGCTTGAGGAGCAGTCCCAGCACGGACTCGCCGCCCGTGTTCTCGTTCCAGTCGCGGCTGTGCTCGTCGTACAGCACCACCGTGTCGGTGCCGCACCGGCGGGCGAAGCGCTCCCGGTCCTCCTCGCTGCTGGCGACGAGGGAGCGCAGGGGCAGGTTGCCCTTCTGCAGACGCCGCAGCATGATGCCGGGGATGGCCACGTTGATGGCCGACTCGATGTGGGACG